TACCTGCGCCTCCGATACCCCGTCGTTTTTAGGGTCGCATATGGTTTGACCCGCAAATAGGCCTGCTGACCTAGATTTTCAGGGTCGGGATTATAAAACCGGGTTTTGGGGGTTCTGACCTGGTTTTGTGATTCGCCCGCGCTTCAGCTGGGAGCAAGCGATGAGTCTATAGGGCATGGATCAACATTTGTCGAGTTATCTTCTGACTTCGCATTCCAAAGTTGTATACAGCATCTTCAAAGTGTCCTGTGCAGCATCAGGTTGTGGTCTCTCAACGAAAACTCTTTCGGAAAGCAACTACTTTATCCATATGTAGGCTCCCTTTAATTCAACCACTAATTGGTTTTCGATGTGCATGTCTGCCACCGACGTGGTCTTCAACGGAGCACAGCCGGGATCCCAGGAAAGATTGCAGCACTAAGCAACTTTGTGAAAGTTGACACAACTTGTTCTTCTGCGAAGCATTTGGCTTGAAAGATTTCCTTTTCGAAACGGCTACCTAGGTTGCCATGGCTTCGGCTGACTCAGAGTTAGCTGCGAAATGGGCTGCCTCAGGTAATGTGGTTCGGGCTTTGAATACTTATGGGCGTATCATTGTCCCTCCCACAAAAAAAGAGCTCAAGGCTGACAACAAGAGTGCCGCCTTTAACCGGCACGTGCTGGCACCAGTCATGGAAGAAATTGCCAAGTGTCCTAACTGGGAGTTGCTAAAGCTGCCAGTTCTTGGCAATGAGTTTCCTGGCTAGTTTGCTTCCATATTTTTCTTCTGCAGCGCTGCATTTGAGTAGTGATCTTCCAATGTGAAACAACCGCATGAACGAAAGCTTGCAAGGCTCCGCCGCTTGCGAGAGTCGATGAAGGTGACGGTTGAGGCTGATAAGATCAAGCTCGACGCTATCTGGATTAAGACTTTGTCGTCACATGTCAAGATGAAGACTCGCAAGCAGCTTGCAAGCCCAGCCACTTGCTGTTCAAAGGATGTTGGGGTTCCATTGCAAATATTATATATTTACTTGTGTACAATTTAACAGTGGATGTTACTTAGGATCCGGATTTCTACTTCTTGCAAACCATCCTCGATCCCGAGCTACCACCCGCGAAGTGAGCAGAGATCGCTCACGCTGCTGATGAAGATCCTGAGGCCGAGGAGGAAAGCGATGAGGAGGTGCCACAACTAAGCCGATACAAGTCTAAATACAGCTAGGCCTCTTTCGAGACAGTCTTAACTATATAGATTATGCAAGTTTGCGGGTATTGAGCTGCTTGGCTCGACCTTCGTAGAGCATCATGTGTATATATGCAAGGAATATGATGATAAGCAATCCATCCCTGCGAGGATGAGGTTGAGATTATGGACGAGGAGCCTCGCCCATCTGGGGCTGCGACTGCTGTCAGAGCAGAGCCGGTGGAGCCTCCGCAGCCTCCACGCGGGCGGGAACCGACTGTTCAGCAGAGGATTGACCGGCTAAAGCAGCAGATTGCCCTTGTGCGATCGAAGTCACGAGAGTTCCCTTGCTAAAAATAGGGGTTTTGTTGTGTACAGTACCAATTAAGGGGTTACAGTACACTACCGTACTTGGGTGAATCACGATCACTAAGGTTGGCCCTGGCTCCGCCAATTGACGCAGGCAACCCTCGATTCTTGATCCCAGAAACTTTCTAATATTCAGGAACAAGGTAGTTGATTTCAATCACCCAAGAGGCAGAGAGAAAGAGAGAGAGAGAGAGGGAGAAAGATAAAACAACTTGAAAGACAGAGAGAGAGAGGAGCGAGAGAGACAGGATTGAATAATCAAGACACTATGTTCCTTGCATAGAATAGACATGGTGCGTACTTTTCTGAGGGTCCCAGGTTTCGATTGGGTCCGGCATATGTGGAGAGACAGAGACAGAGACAGAGACAGAGAGAGAGAGAGAGAGAGAGAGAGAAACAAAAGAGTTCTACACATATACATACCTGGTCTATTATAAGAGCGGTTTCTGATCCTAGTTGTGTTTGTTGTTGTTCATGTATACCGAACAGTGGAAGGAGTATGTCCTGCACGCATGTTTTTATATGTATTGCATGTATATATAT